AAACATTTACCCGGACAAAAATGGGAAAATGTTATTACAATAGATGATTCTTAAATGTATTTAAATGACTGCAATAAAAGAAATCTGTTTATTATCATCAAAGAGGAGAACAAAACCTTAAAACATAGGATCTTAAACAAGGATCTGGAGAATCTGAAAACAAGGATCTGGAGAACTTTTTTTAAACAGATTTATGATTGTTGTTGCTTTTTCATATAACTGCAAATTAAAAATAAAGAGAGAGGAAACAAATATTAAAATCAACTCCACGTATTATCTGGAACCTCATTTTTCAAATACTAATACCTTCTTTAGCCACAGTGCTATCAGCCGCCAGAACTGCATCAAGGCAAATCAACAGCCAGACATAAAAATGTACTATTTATTTCCTGGGAAACAAACATGGAAAAAGAAATGGGTATCAAGGGCATATCCTTGATTTGTATCCCTACTAAATCTTCTAATGAATGACCCATAGATTTTTGCGGGTTTGGACGTTTAAAAAGCGGATTATTCAGACGTCGACCTACAATCGTCCTTGGACTTAGGAAAGCTGTTCAGGAAGAATTGGATAGAATACTTCTTCCATTACATAAGGCTTTATTGTCTGGCTAACTGCAGTGTGGAAAAGTAGTAAAGAATAAAGGTTATCAAATAGAACATTTAAAAGACCAAAAGAATTTCTCGTAATACAATGAAAATCGTCTTAAAACAGCCTTAGTAATTTTGCAATCGTTGGTCATAGATACTTACTACTAATCACAAAAAATGTTTTAAATCAGAAAATGTTCATGCTTTGGAGATTTCTAACTTTAAAATATATTACTCTTGAACAAATAATGAAATCTAACCTTTAATGCGGTCTCCTGCTTCCTGCACTTATATTTTGGAAAGCTTTATACACGTTATAAAAGATATAAAAATTAAGAATATTAAGGAGTATTATTAAGAAGTTTGATAACCATACGGCAAATATTGATCACTATATTAAATTTGAAAATTAGCAGTTTTTGATGTCATTTTAAACTTGCCTGGAGGGGCCGATTAAAAATTAGAATAATTCGAGGAAATAAATTTAAATGAAGTGCAGAAAAAAATCTATAATTTAATAAGCGCGTAATAAGGTCATGTGTTGACAACATCATATTTTTTTTAATGTTCTAATTTGCTCTTTATTTACATGTTAGACTGCAGTCTGGAGTCTCCGGTTTGCTCCTTATTTACATATTTGCTTATTTTTGTATTTTTTCAATCCTAATAATCTCCCCTCACACACACACACGTTTCAGAATGATGAACGCAGTTACGTTTTTGTATCTGCAACTCAAAGCAATGTTTTAAAGAAGCGAATTTTGTAAGTGAGCAAAAATTTCGAGAATGTGTTATAAATGATAACACTTACGTTACGATTCAGATATATTGCAATAAGAAAGTCTGTATATGGATGATACGAACAAAATTAACTTTATTTTTGCAACTTATTTTTCAATGGAAATTTTTCGAACGTAAAATAAATAAGTGTACAGAAGTTAAAATCCAGAAAGTGACAAGAATGGAAAGATTTAAAATTATAAAATTAAAAACTTCATAATGTACAGAATTTAAAATATAACAAAAATATTGTTGTACTCGAGTGCAAATAAAATTATATCATTTGATACGAATTTTGCTCCAGCAAGAGCTCGCTGAACGGCGGAGTAGTATAGCCTATTTTGCAGCTGCAAAAAAAAAAAAAAAAAAAAAAAAAAAAAAAAAAAAAAAAGAGAGAAATAAGCACGATAAACAGAATGAGATCAACAAATTTTCGAGACCTTACTAGTAACTTCAATGACACATTCTACAATAAAAAGGAAGAAAAATAATACGAAAAGACACAAAGCATGTCATGTCATAAAAGGATGAAAAATTAAATCAAGTTAAGAATTTATCTCTTTATATCAGGTTTTAACGAAAGTTTTCCGCCACCGTAAATATCATGCATACAGCTTTAGGTACTAATGATGTATCACACGACACTGTGAAGGTTTGATACCCAAATTTCAAAATAAGGAATAGGACATTGAAGACGCAGAACTCTCTGGCCAGCCTACTGATGTTGATGAAGCCCGCCTGCGAGAACTTGTGGAAGAAGATTAATATGCAACCAACTCGAGAGCTTGCTAAGGAGCTAAATATTAGTGCAATGGTCATTAGTCACGCTATGCATCAAATAAACTTGACGTACAAGTTCAATCGCTGGGTGCCGTATGAGCTGATAAGGACAGACGCGTTCGGACATACACTAATCTGTTCGAATATCAACGCAAGAGTAAAATTCCGGACCGGATTGTCACTTGTTATGAAAAATGGAATCACTTCAACAACAAGCTCCGAAAAGGGGATTGGTCTGCGCCCGGTGAACTCGTCGGGAATGCATCAAAGCACAATTTGACTAACAAAAAGATCATGTTTTGGATCTGATCGGTCTGATGGGTATCTGATGCCGTGGTATTATCTACAAGGGTATCTAGAAAAAAGTAAAACCCTGGACAGTAAGGTGTACAACCAGATGCTAGTCCGTGTTGATACTGCTATCAAGGAAAAACGTGGAATTGTGTTCCGGCGCAAAAAGGTAATGTTCCATCAAGATAATGCCAGACCACATGCGTCCGCTTTCACCGGCTGGAATCTGTAAGGACTCGAAAGGGACTTTTTTACACAACCAAAACCACGTAACTCCGACATCACTCCTTCGGAGGTTTACCTTTTTCACACCTGCAGCTATATCTTGCTGGTGCTGTCTTCTATTCTGCACAGGACGTCCGAAATGAGGTTCATTTGTTTTTGGTTTTGCGGCCACCAAGTTTCTGGGCGAAAGCTTTGAAATACTACCAAGACGTTGGCAGAAAAATCACAGATTCGGCTGGTGATTACTGCTCGCACTAAAGAAACTGCTTTCATGTTTTTTTTTCTAACTTTATTAAGAACTTTTTTGGCCGTAAACTTTCGTTACAACAGAGTTTAGAGTTTAAGTTATTAACTAATATAGACGGATAAATATATATGTATATAGGTGAGCTAAGAGCATAAAATACATTCCTACTGAAGGAAATTAATTCAGTAACTTAGATTTCTGGATGATATTTTAGAAACAAAACAGGATTTGTGGTTTGCAGGCCAGCAATATTATGCAGTAGGTAATTTATCAGTTTCTTTGCTTCGAACACAAGTTTCGTGTTCCTCGATGAAGCATTTTAAAGCTTATTTGAATTAAGTATTGAAGTCGAACTGAAGAGGAATGCTATTAAGTCTCTTTTTTTATCTCAATAAATTCTTTAAACACAGATTTTCGTGTCTTGTTAGCAAAAGAAAAAGCATATCGAAAACTGAACTTATGATAAATATTAAACTAGCTGAGAGTAGGAAATGAATAAGGATTAAATTTTTATGATTGATTCCAGCAGAATATTTTATTAGAGCTGGAATCATTTTTAACCACTTAATAATTTGAGAGAAGAAGCCTCTATCCTTTTCAATAGCTAAGGAACAGGTGACTTAGAGATGCAAAGCCTGAATGAATGGAAAACCAAAATGTGGAAATGAATTCTCTTTTATTTTGTAAAACGACAGAATTTGCCATGCGGTGGAAGATAAACTAAGGAAAATTTCCGATACACTGTAGTATCAAGACTAGAACTCTTCTATACGATTAAAATGCCAAGAAAATGGAAAGACCTGTAATAATTGAAGTTCAAAACTAAACTAGATTGTAGTATCTATAGTATTTATAACTAAGAGAACTTGAAATATATTATCTCTATTAGTGTCATACATAGCGACATGACGAATGCAAAAAAGAAAGTTTAATTTTTTAAGTCTTTTTTATTTAATACATGAAAGTATTCGAATGTATAGAACCTTAAGTTACAAGACGTATTTTCCTCCATTCTGTTAAGCAGATCAATATTTAAACTGAAACTTTTTTCTTCCCTAAGTAGCATTTGTTCTTTTCTTCCTTAATTTTATTTTTCTAATTTCCTTCCCTATAGAGGACGTGATTGTAGTTATAGTAAGTTCTGTCTCTTTACAAATAATTCAATTAACAAATAGTTGTGTCCTGACATTTAAATAGTTTAGTCACAAAGACGAAATTATTTGAAAAATATTAATAAATGAAATAACTGAAATAAAAGTATTGTTTTCTTTTAATTCATCCTTATATATATTAATGAGCCTTCGTAATATCAGTATCCGAATAAAAATTATTTTAAAACTTCCGAAATCTCTCTTTATTATGAAAATGCCAATGATTAAAAATTACCTATGATTTAAAACCATGTACCTCCTCATCAGAATTACATAAAAGCGAGCAGAAATAGGAAAATTGCATAAGTAGTAAACTTGATGCTCAATAGAGGAGCCACATGGCTCGAGAAAGTTTAGGGATAGCGAGAATTTATAAAACTTAAGAATACATAAATTTTTTGTTTTTACATAAATGTTTTAGATTTTTAATCTTTCTTTTTTGGATTTTTTATATAAATACGATACAACACAAAAGCATAAAGCGGAGAGGAAAAATTTTACATCTCTTTACTTTGAACAGATCTGACTGAACCCTTCATAAAACTCCCCTTCGCCAATAACATCGTCGTGATCCTCCTCCTAGCTAATATCCTGCTCAGTTTAGTATAACACTGCTAATTGAACACTTTATGAAAAATTCACCTGTTTTTCCTATGAATAAGGATTTGGCACTCAATTTCTATTTATTCGAAAGGCTTGACTAAATCAGAAGACCACCTCCAAACATCGACTGGATTGAACTGTTCATTAGATTGATTAATTCAGCCTATACACTGGTTTTCAATTTGGACAGAATTTTTTAAACAAAAATTTTACCTCTTACATCGGCTTATATAGGGATCGGTTTATATTCTGATTTGTAAGTGTGACTTCATTTACTTTCTTTTCTAATCAAGTCCCTTGAATACAACATATAATTTTATATGGTTTCTGACCTTCACATTTTCCATTTTTGACAGCATATCCTTTATCACAGGTACAGGATTTGATTACGCCGTCGAAAGTACACTTTCCGTGGTCACCACAGCTGCATTCTAAAAAATTGTTTAAATCACAGTTAATACTTCTAATTTAATTTGAACACAGATTTCACAATTTTAGAGTATAAAATAAAGTGACTGTAAATTATCACCTTTACATTTTCCTTGCATTACGGAATATCCTTCCGCACATCCGCATTTTTTATCTCCCTTTTCATCAAACTCACAGCTTGTTGAATTCGTTCCACAGTCGCATACTGAAAAGAAAGTGAAAAATTAACTCCGAAATCTTTAGATTCTGGTTAATTTTACTTTACTACTCCGATAGAGCATTAACTCCGAAATCTTTAGATTAACTCCGAAATCTTTAGATTCTGGTTAATTTTACTTTACTACTCCGATAGAGCATTAACTCCGAAATCTTTAGATTAACTCCGAAATCTTTAGATTCTGGTTAATTTTACTTTACTACTCCGATAGAGCATTAACTCCGAAATCTTTAGATTAACTCCGAAATTAACTCCGAAATCTTTAGATTCTGGTTAATTTTACTTTACTACTCCGATAGAGCAACTGGTCCACTTCGGGATGCTGCTTATCAGCCTGTTTAAACCCTGCCAGTGATTCTAATGTCGTTGTCAAGTCCGAAGACATGTCTCCTCAGAGTGGTATTTATGAGAAAGGGCGGCGAACATTCAGTAGAAGGAGTGAAGTCAGCCAAGTGGCAGAAAGCATTCTGCTTTGATTGTTCAACTGTTAAGCTAACGGGGAGTGCGATTGCTGTAATTTTGTTTTAAAAATAGAGATGTGTTCTTCGGGGCTACAAAATTTAATACTATTACAACATACTGATGTGTTCATTTGAAAATAGCTACATAGATGTAAACGCGTACACAAACAATATAATAATGTCAAATATATGATACAATTCCTTAGATGTTCTATTTATCTGCTGAAAAAAAACTTTAGGCTAATTTTTATCTGATGTTGACACACTGGGCTCAATTCTTTAACTTTAGATTGCCATTTCCAAGATGTCATCTTAATTCCATTTTGAACATCAACATCTTTACCATGCTCAATGAAACATTTCTCATACTAAACATTTATTGCTCATTTCGCAAAAAGAATAGTACAGTAAAGAGCAAAACATAGTATAATAATTTTAGCGAAATTTTTTAACAGAAATAAAGCACTGTTTCATTTTTTTATTTCTTTTGTATTATGAAATTGCTTGGAAATGACGTTCAGCAATAATACTAATAAACATTTAGGTGATTTTTTTTAACTTGGAACAAATTCAAGAATTTATTAATCTCATCAATGATAAATTCTTCAACAAAGCGATTAGCTATAACCCGGTTAATTTGGCTAATATCTTAAGTTACGAAATATTTGATATTAAGTTACGAATAAAGATAAACTTCTTCGCCCATTCGCCGCTCTCTTTTTACAGTCTACCTAAACCGACCAAGGAGAGCCCAGCTTACTCACTCAGTAGTTTGTAAGCTCAGCACGTTTCGGATTCTACAAACCTCTTCATGTGTTCCAGCCAGCTTTTCCCACCTCTCTGTCCTTCTGCAGCTGCCCCAGACATGGCTTGCTAATCACCGAAGTTCAAGGCTTCACTTCTCTAATTCTATTACAAGTCTATCTCAATTGGAAAAGCTTCATTTTTGGACTTTTACATACGTCAGAACCCTAAGGGGACTCATTCAGGAATCTGGAAAGAGCAGTAGTAATGCATCTCCCGCTGCATGCCAGAATAACCAACAATCACAATTCATCAATGGCCTAATTGCCGTGATATAAACTAGCCTCTTTTTCCTGAGGTCTAAGCTAGAATAATTACCCAATATAGGGATGAGACTATTTACAACAGTGAAAATTTTTCTTCTGACCTCTGTTATATGATCTCCCCATTTTAATCTTTCATTTAGCATTACTGCTAAATATTTCGCCTTACTAACTCTAGGAATCTCTTCAGAAAATAAGAAGAGCTTGCTGTTAATAGTCAACTGTGTATTTTTCCTCCTTATCAATAATAATTGCGACTTGCTGGCATTAATAGCAATTCTCCAAGTATTACACAACTTTTCTACCACTGGTAGAAGCTCCTGTAATTTCTTGATTGCATGGTGTGCGTTTGCGGACTTTACGGCTAATGCCGTATCGTCCGCATAGCACCCAAGAAAGTAATTTCTGCCAATGTGAGCCCTAGGGAAGTCATGAACATAAAATAAATACAGGACGGGCCCTAAAATGGACCCCTGTGGGACGCCTGCATTCATGGTGCGTAAACTGGAGATGTCCTTTCCAATAGCCACAGTGAATTTCCTATTAGTGATGAAAGACATAATTAGCTGAATCAGCTCTCTATCCATAGGGAGATTTATAAGTTTATAAATAAGCCCCTCATGCCAGACGCGGTCGAATGCCTTCGCCACGTCTAGCATGAGTAAGGCGACATTTTGTTTCTTGTGAAGCGCATCCCCACAAAACTCGACGAGCCGAACCAGCTGCTTCGTTGTTGAAAGCTTTCTCCGGAAACCAAATTGTTCCGGAGGCAGTAATTCAATATAGTTTTTCAATCTGCTGTAGATTAATCTCTCAAAGACCTTTCCTAGTCCCGGAAGCAAGCTAATGGGCCTGTACCCATCTGGCTTAGTGTTATCCTTGCCGGGCTTAGGCAATAAAATAACTTTTGCGATTTTCCATTTTGTGGGAAAATAGCATTGACTAAGACACGTATTGATAATACTCGTGAATTTTGTCACAACATTGCAGGGCAGATTTCTAAGTGCGTGATTATTAATACCGTCTATGCTAGGGGCCTTTTTGACTTTAAGCTTCTTTGTGATTTCTTTGATCTCACTGGGGGTAGCAGTGGCCATGTACCTCTTAGCAGTGTGGGCATAAAGCCAATCCCTAACAAAGTAAAAAAAAATCAATTGATCTTTTTTTTTAATTCCTAAACGCACATGAAAAATCTGGTAATTATAGTTCACTAGGTTTCAATACATGAAATATATGCAGTTGAATTTACATAACTTATAAAACATATCATCAAAATTTGATTAACAAACCTTGTTTTGAACGATAGAATTTTCACAATTCTTGTGCGATGAGAATTTCGTTTAGGAATAATTTTTTTATGGTTCAGAAAACGGCGTGAAATAAAATTCTACATTAGATTTGCTGTAAAATCTGTGAAATATTAAAATAATTTAAATATTTTACAGAGTTTTTACTTACTCTGGCATCCTCCAAACATCTGCGCATATCCATCTTCGCAACTGCATCGTTTCTCCCCATTGAAACTGCTAAAATAGCAAAGTTTTGAATTTGGACCGCAGACGCATTCTGAAAGATAAGCAAATGAGAAATGTATTTCAAAACAAATTTTAAACCGAGAGGGATGAAATTTCTAATTTCTTATTTTATTTCAATACAGATAAATTTTAACAGCTTCACATAAAGTATACTGGTAAAAGGAGAGGCGCTCAGATATATAATGTTATTTTGTATCTGTACCTTGATATATGTATAGAAAATGCTATGTAAGTTTCGTGGTTTTCCTCGTATATTGCATAACTACGAGCCAGATTGTCCTGTACGAAGACATGTAGCCCTAATTTTTCATAATTAAATGCATCCTATCCAACCTAATAAAAAGTCCTGAAGGAAGTGATCCGTTGAAGGAAACGAACGTTTCGTGGTTTTCCTCGTATATTGCATAACTACAAGCCAGATTGTCCTGCACAAAGACATGTAGCCCTAATTTTTCATAATTAAATGCATCCTATCCAACCTAATAAAAAGTCCTGAAGGAAGTTATCCGTTGAAGGAAACGAACGTTTCGTGGTTTTCCTTGTATATTGCATAACTACAAGCCAGATTGTCCTGCACAAAGACATGTAGCCCTAATTTTTCATAATTAAATGCATCCTATCCAACCTAATAAAAAGTCCTGAAGGAAGTGATCCGTTGAAGGAAACGAACGTTTCGTGGTTTTCCTCGTATATTGCATAACTACAAGCCAGATTGTCCTGCACAAAGACATGTAGCCCTAAGTTTTCATAATTAAATGCATCCTATCCAACCTAATAAAAAGTCCTGAAGGAAGTGATCCGTTGAAGGAAACGAACGTTTCGTGGTTTTCCTCGTATATAACTACAAGCCAGATTGTCCTGCACAAAGACATGTAGCCCTAATTTTTCATAATTAAATGCATCCTATCCAACCTAATAAAAAGTCCTGAAGGAAGTGATCCGTTGAAGGAAACGAACGTTTCGTGGTTTTCCTCGTATATTGCATAACTACGAGCCAGATTGTCCTGTACAAAGACATGTAGCCCGAATTTTTCATAATTAAATGCATCCTATCCAACCTAATAAAAAGTCCTGAAGAAAGTGATCCGTTGAAGGAAACGAACGTTTCGTGGTTTTCCTCCTATATTGCATAACTACGCGCCAGATTGTCCTGTACAAAGACATGCAGCCCTAAGTTTTCATAATTAAATGCATCCTATCCAACCTAATAAAAAGTCCTGAAGGAAGTGATCCGTTGAAGGAAACGAACGTTTCGTGGTTTTCCTCGTATGTTGCATAACTACGAGCCAGATTGTCCTGTACAAAGACATGTAGCCCTAATTTTTCATAATTAAATGCATCCTATCCAACCTAATAAAAGTCCTGAAGGAAGTGATCCGTTGAAGGAAACGAAAAGTACAAAATCTATTGGACTCACAGGTAGGATAATACGAAAAGAGAAAGAGATCATAATAGAAATAACAGGAATGGAAGATATAAATCTCCAATGTTATTATTATCTCTAATAAAGGACTTATATAACCATAGAGTATTTCCATAAAACAAGCCCTAACTCTTATTTTTACGATAGTATGTAATTCTCTCTGTGGCATTAGGAAGTAATTTACGTATCTCTGTGGCATTAAGATGTAATTTGAAAATGGAATGCCTCCAGAGCTGAATCCGCTATTATGAATGCTATTTAAGAAGTCCCGCGAAACGGGGACAGTGGTTAGCGTTGTTGACTGTCTCATCGAAGGAACTGGGCTCGCATCCTGGAAGGCATGTGTGGTAAGTTTCGTTTCCGTTGGTTGTGGTGGCAAAAGTATATGTCACATGTTGTGAAGAAGATGAATATAGTGGCAACTTACCCAGGACAAGATCCAGGCCCGCCGTGACGAGAGAGTGACAAACACGTGAAAACAGATTTAATTCTTTATTGAATACTACCAATGTTGAAGAGATATTCCTTTTTTTTAATCCATTGTGTCACATGGTGATATGAGACCTTCTCACCCAGAGAGATAAGTAGACCACCGCTTCCACGAAGCCCTTCGAAGGTGTGGTATATTGCAGCTCAATCACATGCAGGTGCTCCTCATAGGGATCAAATCGGTTTCCGGGCGAAAAAGCCAAGCCCGGGAAGGAAGAGATCAGCTAAAATTTTGTAACTACAGCATCAGAAAGAAAGAAAACTCGCTTTCTTCATATACACAGGGAGACCAAGAAAGTTTGCACAATAAATTCCAAAAGTTTGCATTTCACCCCACTATTACCGTTTTTTTCCACGCACCACCTCCATCTCGGCCCTTCACAATCTCCTCATCCTGAGGTGGGCCTTTTATAAAGGCTTTTATAATATTTATATATATTACCGCCTTTTATAAAGTTCCACAGTTATACTCACACTTAAGTTTTGCAGCTAGTGAAAAAAATTCAGTGTCAGAAGGCCAAACAATCGCAAAATACTTTCAGCTACACAGGCAAACAGAAGTGAATTGGCTAATTGTCTGATGCAGTACTTTCCTCCGCTTACAACAGTTGTCTGAGGAAATCTGTTCGTCAGCTTACAACACAAGTTGGTGAGAAAAAGAAACTGTCACCAATGGAATCTGATGCAAACATCTAAATATTGCCATAACGTTGTAAATAATTAATTCATTGTGAAATCGTCACAGCGTGGATGTTTATAAATGTATAATGCCTTTTCGGCATGGAGTTACTCTAAATATGCAGCGGGCCGAAAGTTCTCTCAAGAGCTTGTGGAAGGGGAAGAGGGATGGAAGACCCTCGGAACTGTCCCCCTGGGGGTTCTCTCCTTCGAAATTGAATGCGGCACTGAGGAAAGTCGTACTGTCACATGCATGGTGCCCAAGGCTGTTTGTTGCCTAAGCAGACGCAATCTTGACTCCTTGCCATGATGAATTTCGTGGGTTTGCCCTGATGTCAGATAAGCGAGATTAGTCACAAGAACAGCAACATTTTAGAAGTTTCTCATGTAGTGGTGCCATTTATATGTATTTCGAAAGAAGAGATATCATATCAAATGATAATGTAATCTTGAACTACACACAGTTGCTTTGCTTTACAAAACTCTTCATCGGTGGACATGGCCAGATTCCGGAACACTTTCCGTTCTATCTCGATCTTTTGTCTGATGTTTATTTCCTCTCTGAAGAGGTGTGCACTTTAGCCATTGCGGAGATGACAGCCCTTCACCATGGAGGAAATTTAATCATTTGCAAAGGGAATTTAAGGAATTAACTCGGCCAATTAAGAGCTCTTGAGTAAGGAATACAAGACTTGCCCTGACTGTTTCTTGCACAGTAGGAAAAATTGCACTGATAGAAGCCATGACATTTGCGCCCTTTCCGCAGACTTAAACTGGAGTTGTTTTACAAATTGAAACATGCATCTACATTTTCTGTCGTAGTACTTGCAGACAAGATAACACATACATAAGTACAAAACTGAATATTAAAGTGAAAAACTAGCATGATACTAAGTACAGAAACACAGAAAGCTGATCCCTAATATCTGCATACATAACACTTAAAAAACGCATACGTAATACATGAAAACTAAAACTGGTGAACATAATATATAAAACTGATCATTAAATAATGCTATGTAGTCTAAATCCTAGCCAAGTACGAACTGACCCTCATAGTACATGCAGAGAAGTAATAAATACAGACTTGAGTACGTTAAAGTGAACATAAACAGAAAAGTACAGCACCATACTCAGTAAAACTGATATCTGATTCCAAACACTTGAATACATAATGCTGATACATAATTACAAAGAAAACCTTACCTACATTAATTCCATAGTTAGTTTTATCACCTTAGAACATGCACATAATTTATAAAAAACATAATTAAGCACTTAATGCTGATCACTAGGGAAGAGATTCAAACATACAGCTCATCACATAAATACAGATATCTCTTCCCTAAAACATTTATTAAAATTAAGAAGGCAAAAATGCCATAGCAAGAATAATATCATTCACAAACTTAAGTTGAGGTGATAACATAAGTTGAACTTGCCCTTCTTGAACCTACTTATCACAAACTTGTAATTTAATTATACAATTAGTAAGTGTAGGAAAAACTCATTGCAGGTGAAGATTTTTCTGGCTCAATATGGTCTCGCGAGTCCTAGACCTGTACATTAATTGCAAAAGTATAAGCAGTATAAGCAGTATTAATTGCAAAAGTATAAGTATTTAAAAAATATAAGCAGTTGTTGCCATAGTCCTAACTATCTAAGTTAGTCTTGGGCTGAGAGGTTCGAGGTGTGTTCCCCGCATACTTAACAGATTGATTTAGTGTGATTTATACATTTTATGATTCAGAGCGCTAAGCACTTGATTATTTCTATTTGGGGACACTTATCGTCGTATTAGAGAATACTTTCTCTGACAATGGCTGATTACCGCTTGTAGCTTTTTATTTGCTGTTTTGTTTGTTCTCATATTTGCCGCCCATTGTGGCCAGTAAGCTTGACTTGGCTTTCTTATATGGTACTGTGCCGTGTTTGTGCAGTGGAAGACGTAGTGGTCTGGATCCCCCACCTCTCCACATTGACATCTTTCTGTGTCACTCAGGCTGAATCTATGCAGATAGGTCAGGAATGGGCCATGACCTGTATAAAACTGTGTCTGACTACCACTATTGCAATTTAACTCTAGCGTTATTTTGGGAAGAAAATATACGTTCTCCTTCCTGTATCTGCTGTGTCCCATCTGGCTTGCCATCTGTCTATCAGTTGTTTTAGAGTGATCTTTTTGAGATGAGACCTAGGTAATTTATCTGGCAGTTCTGTTCTTGAGACCTCCTTTGCCGCTTCTTTTGCCAGGGTGTCTGCTTCCTCATTGCCTTTAATGCCCACGTGAGCCGGAACCCACGTGAGGCATGGCCTTTCTGATGGTAGAAGACTGAGGAGGATTTTTCTAAGTTCTTGGACATACTGGCTTCTGCTTTTGTAACCTTTGATTGCGTCAAGGCTAGAGGCAGAATCACTGTAAATAGTAATGTGGGTAAGTC